CTGAACCCCCCGGACGGCGGCCTTGACCTTGCGCCAACCCAAGTGGTTGAGCTCGGCCAAGTTGAGAAGGACGCAAACGCCGCTGACGGCGAACATGAAGACCAAAAAAACGGTCTTCTCGGTGGGTCGCGAAACGTAACATTCCACCTCCTTGACGCAAGGGTACCGATCGCACTCAAAGATAGCCGGAACGTTGAATCCGTAGAGGAAGTACTGCCCGGCCAGGAAGCCGATCTCCAGGGCGTTGCGGAAAACTACCTGGATGACGTAGAAACGGGAAATCCCTTCTTGCCGCTTGGTTTTGGAGCTGCGGGGAGGAAGGGCCGGGCAGCTCCTTCGCCTCCAAACAGTCGGGTTCTTCCTTGCAGCCCGCCTCCGGGCTGGGTGCCAGCATCCCGTTGACCGTCTTGGTCTTCTTGGTTTCGCGACCGTCCCGTTCCAAGAGCGGGTAGAGGAAGGAATAGCGCCGTTCCCGTTGTTTGGCCGACTGATGGACGGAGTAGGTGATGAAGCAGAGGCTGGGGGTGCAGACCAGGATGATCTGGAAGACCCAGTAACGGATGTGGGAGATGGGGAAGGCTTTGTCGTAACACGCCTGGTTGCAGCCCGGCTGCAGGGTGTTGCACATGAACATGGTCTGCTCGTCCTCGTACACCGTCTCGCCGACGATGGCCACGATCAGGATGCGGAAGATCACCACCACTGTCAGCAGGATCCTGCCCGAGGGGAGGGAGGGAGGAGGGATGACCACCCAGAGGCATGGGTCCTACCCGGACACGTGGGTCCTACCTGGACCTAGAGACATGGGTCCGGCCTGCACCCGTGGGTTGAACTTGGCCACGTGGATCCTATCTGGACCCCGACACGTGGGTTGAACTTGGACACGTGGGTCTCACCTGGACATGTGGGTCCTATCTGGACCCCAACACATGGGTTGAACTTGGACATGTGGATCCTACATGGACATGTGAGTCTGACCTGGACCCGGACACGTGGGTCAAACTTGGACCTGTGGGTCTGACGTGGACGTGTGGGTCCTCCCTGGCCACGTGGGTTGGACTTTGGCACGTGGGACCTTCCCAAACCCGGACCCCTGGGTCCCCACCTGCCCCCCCGGGTGTTTCCCAGGCCCATCTCCCCACGTGCCACC